GTTGTTTCATTTTTTGTGAGTGCGCGAACGTAACAATATATACATTTCGCATTTTAATGGGGTATTTAATGGAGTAATTATTCGAACTCTTCTGCACGCACCTTCTCCTTTTCTTTCCGCTTCGTTGCGAGACTGATTCCGTTCCGTCTGCTGAAGCTACCATGTATTCCGGCGAACCTGCTCGCGTTGTTATGGTAATGTTATTAACGGATTGTTGATTGTACACCGATTCAGCTGTCTGGACGGGTTCCACGACTGAAGGTTGCGGTCCCATTGGTTTAATAGTTAGCTAAAGATACGATATATTCTTGCATACATGAACATCACTACATAAACACTAAATAGTTAATTTTTTTAAAAGTAACAAAATAAATACTTTTGGTGTCGTGAGCGTGTCAGGAACAGCGACGTTGGTCACACTGCTGGACGAATTCTTCGATGTAGTAGGTGTGCTCAGCGTTGCTGATGTTTCTTGTGGTGGTGTGAGTGTCATATTAGCGTCGTCCTTACAATGCCTTAATTTGCGCGGTGCCGATGTGTCTACACGCTCCACCTCCGAGCCCGAGGATTCTTTATCGCACTCAGAGCATTGCCTGCAAGTTGCAATATGTAACGCGACATAACGATAAGTCTCTTCAACGGTCACGTTAGAAATATTGAAAACAATAAAATATCGAATATAATATCTGTATTCTCATATATACCATCCCATCAGTCTAGTTTTCTTAGGCATTCGTGATAGAGGCGGACTCAAACAAGACAAATGGTAATGCAAATGACATGTGTCACATTTAGCGAGAAGATGTTGGTTAGTCGATCGTCTGCAGATGCCGCACTGGTGTCGCAAAGTTAGCTCGCCTTTGTGATTTTGTTCTTGCGCTTGGCTACTCAACACTCTACCCTCGCGTGCACCTTCAGCACCTTTACCCATAGACAATGGAAATCCGACTCCCATTTTCAAAGCAGCAGCCGTAGGTACACCTAGTGTACCTCCTGTTCCAGTACCTACAAAAAATTTGTTACGTTTAGAAACTTATTGAGCGTTTTATGTGCGTGAAAACGAAAATGCGACTGACCAAGTGAAGGCGCTATTTTTGGTTTAGTCAGTAAGTCTGCTATCAACGGCAAAGGTTTCGTGTAACCAGCGTTTTTAAGTACCAGATGATACATCTCGATCTTTTCTTTCAACGTTACATTCACTCGGACCCGCTCCTCTTTGTCTTTCTTTATTTCTTTGTACTTTCGCTCCATTCTCTGCTCTTCGTTCAACAATTGCGAATTTATATCAAGAAGTTCCTGCAGCCGTCTCTTCATAGAAGTTACCCGCAAGTTACGATCCAAGTAATAACCAATAAATTCCACGCTGAAGGCAGGAGCGATGTGCCATTTCTTTCTAACATCGACTAATGCCACCACTTGAGCTTCTTGCGCTTCTAATGCAGTTGTATCTACGTCCATCAGTTCGGCTTTTTTTGCTAGTTGACGACAAGCGGATGCGGATGTAGTCAATAAACGTGGCATTTTCTGCGTGGGTACTGTATAACGTAATATTTAGGTTTATTATTACATATCTATTTAACGCCAACATATACTCAGAGAAAAAATATAATTTACCCCATGGTGGTGGACGTGACGCCTTGTGTGCTAGATATTTGTGTCTGTGCTTCCCCAATTTTCTTACGATTCTACGATGTTCGTCTGTGTCTAAATGATTAGGCTGTTTAAGCATTTGCTGTCGCTGTTGTACGCGCAGTTGAAAAGCTAAGAAGTTTCGTCTACGTCTGCGAACGAGAGACTTGTCAGAGTGCAACTTGCAATGCGCATAGAACGGGTCGGCTTGATCAACTTCTTCGCTGTGCGCCTCAGATAGTAGACCTTCTCTTTGAGCGCTACAAAAATGAAGCATTTCGTATGTTTCATCCGCAATATGAATTCTCTCTTTTTCTCTTTCTTTCTCTCTTCATATTGTAAGCAATATGAAGAATATCGATGTGTGCTTTTAGTGTAATTATTACCAGGTTACGTGAAAATATGTATGACACAATCCAGCGTCGCATTCAATGCATACACCTGTACGCGCATAACGTGAATCTTCGCATAATGAACATTGCTTCGCACCCCATTTAGTGTACTGCATCTCGAATAACGTTACGCTTGTCAATCGATCCACCTAAGGTACATAAAGATTCGTAAAATTACACAGGACACGTTAAAAAAGATTTACTCACTTCGCCAAAAGCAACACCAGGTACGTAAAGGGCGCATACTAGATGCACCCATTTTCCAACATCTGTCTCTTTGAAAATTCCACCCTTGTTTGGACAAAGTTCGCACGATGGATCTTCGATACCTGCACTGCAAGCTTCACAGAACCATGGTGCTGATTGGCATAAGGAGTCTGTACTGGAGAAACTTTCTACATCAGATACACCATAGCAACCTAAAATTGGTTTAATCATAAATATATAAACAGCAAAAATTAAACAAGTATTTATATTTTAAATTTAATATATACCTTCATGAACACTAACTCCACAACCGTCACATTCAACGATCTCATTTGTATCATCACTTCTGTCTCCCAAACAACCACAACAAATTAACAATTTATTTAACTTTTCCTCAAACACACCACTCTTTAAAGCTTGTTGACGTGCTTGTTCCATTACATCTCCTACAGTCAAGTTAGCATTGTGTTTTCCTCCTAATAATGGATCTTCAAGTAGATCATCATCAGATTCTTCAGATCCACCTTCTTCTTCTGTAGGTAATATTTGGCTTAGCATTTTATCATTTATAAAACATATACAAATAATTTCTTTTATTTTTTTGTTAAAAATTAACAATTTAACAATTGCAGTGTTAATACAATACTACGACTCACCTTTTCCAATATCATTAGAATCAACTGAATCGTCATCTGATTCTTCAGAATGGTCTTCAATTCTAAAATCACTATCATCAGAACTTTCACCCAAGTCAAAATCCAATAATGATTGATGTGCTGATTCAACTGGTTTCACCTTCCTCTTTTTAGGATCCCTCTCAACTGCAATAATTTGATTTCTCACAGCTATATATCATCTACAAGTACTCCATGAATAAAATATACTAACAGACTTTCTATTACTACATATGTATATATGTATAGAAACAAGCATATATATATATATATATATATATATATATATATATATATATAT